GGAGAAGAGAAGACTGGCGCCACCATAGGCCCCCTCGCCGACGTGCGCGTTCGTTCGAGAGTGAACGTGCCGCCATCGAGCGGGCTTGTAGTGGCGCCCTCGGTCGGGGCTCGCGCACTGCGGCGACAGCGTGGCTCGCGGAAATCTTCCCGTGTGTTGGGCGAATGGCGGCGGGTCATTCTTCCCACGCGCGGTGGTGTCGATGGTGGTGAAGAAACCAAGTAGGTCCTCTCCTTCTCCATTCGTTCCCCTTCTAGGGTTAGGGTTAGGGTGATTCAACTGGATTCATTTCTTTTGATTCATCTCCTTTTAATTTATCTTGGATTTGTACCCCAAAATCTAGATCTACATGCTAGGGTTGGTGACTGATACCATTGTTAAAATTACAGGATCATTAGATGTAGATCTAGGGGTGCTAACTTGACTAGAATAGGATAAACATGCCCTAGACACATGGACTATGAGATCCAAGAGGGAGAGGGGAGCAGAGGTACCGACCATCGGAGGGCTTGGTGGAGCTAGAACCGTCCATCGCGTCGGTAGAGAGGGCGGTGAAGAGGTGGCGCTCTAGTGGCGATGTAGCGGTGAAGTGGTCCAACTGGCGATGGTGTCCCGGTGATGGTGCTTCCCATCACCGGTCATGCGCCCTCACTTGATCGGGTTAGGTTTTTGTTTGTGGATGTGCGGCTCACGGTGAATCTCGATCGAGAGCCGCCGGCCCCACCTCTCTTTATAGCACATTGCATATGACGGGGCCCACCAACCATGTATGGTTGGCCGCCCCGATCGGTATGCGAGGTCAAGGCTCAACTCGGCCGTTGGGCGAAATGGAGAGATCAACACTAACAAGAACGTGTCGCGGTCGTGTGGCTTAGGAACCTGGACGCATCCAATGGCAAGAGGTGGAGGTTGACATGGCGGACGTGGGGGAGGGTAGTGAAGAGGATGCTGAAGTGGTCGGCCTCGACGATAGAGACGGTGGGAAGAACGGTCACCATGGAGAAGTCGACGTCATCATCGTGCCCCACGAGAAACACGATGAAGCGGAAGAATGGGGTGGTGGCCCATTGCTTTCGAGATGAACATGACATGCTGGGCGTGATGCACCACCATCGAGCTCTCCGGGCTCTTTGTTGCCGACGTGGCCATGGTAGAAAGCTTGGTTGATGTGCGGTGGTGAACTATGGAGCGGGAGTGGGGTGAAGTGGCAATGGAGAGTTGGTAGTCTTCTTTGAAATCTGGACTTCCCACATGACTTAACAGATGATGTCATTTGTGTGACCGTGAGTACCCTACATTATTGGTAGGACGTGCCACGTGTTGTTGGCAATGGAGAAGAAGAGCCGGAGCATGTACGTCTTGTTGGGCTTCCCCTTCAGCTTGAACGTATCTGCTATATTGTAACATAATTGGTTTTTGTCGATTGTGTAGTTAGATTGCCCTGATATATCGTGATCCTCTAATATAAATAGAGGTGCAACCTTATCCCATTAAGAAACATTTCTCAAACATGATCTACAAGCTTTCCACGATATTGGACGACTTTCCATGGAGTTAAACTCAATTCGGGCTCGGACTAGGAAAAAAACGGCTTAGCTGGTTTTCAAAACCTGCTAAGCGGTTTTTGCGCGAGGCAAAAACCTATGCAAGCCGTAATTTCTTTACCCCAACTTCAAATTGGACGATCTTTATACATTTTTTGATCAACTCAACGAAAGGAATGCAATGATGCAGTCCATTCTTCAATTTGGAGAAGTATACAAATCCGTCTTAGCCGGTTTTGAAAACTGTTGAATCTATCAACACCCCAAAATCTTGTTTTCTTATGTCGACTCCAAACTAGATAATCCATATATGTTTCTCCGATCATCTTGACAAGAGGAACACAATAGTGAAGTCTGTCCACAGTGCATTTGACAAAGTCCCAAAACCAATTTAGCCGGTTTAGGAAACCGTTGGGATCAATCTGTTTTGTCCATATTTTGTTGTCAACACTCCTTTAGAACCCTATGTATCATTTCTCTTTGGCACGCTGTGCCATTTCTCTCTTTTTTTAGAATTACACAGTACAACGCAGACGTCCACAACACGTATGCACACTCACCTCTATGAACACACGTACGTAAACTCTATCCTATGAGCACATTCGAAGGACTGAGCCGACAGATCTCGAGATTCACGAAGTAACCATTGGCGCCTCGCTGTTGATGGTGATGTCGCCTTTTCTCTTTTGACTTGCAAATCACTCAGTGAAACCAGGTTTCTCTTCTTTATTCTAATTAGTAATAAATCCACCACTACATACATAGAAAAAAAGGGTAAAGTATAATTTACACCCTCCAACTATCGCGAAAGTATAGATTTCAACCTCGAACTTCAAAACCGGATAACTTTGGCCCTTCAACTCTTGAAAAAGTTTAAATTTCAACTTTACGGCGGTTTATAAACGTATGAAGCAGATACTTTTGATAGAGTTTTCTATTTTTGAATTGAGTCTCATCACGCCAAAAAATTTGTCGCAAGGATGAGACTTTTATTTTAAAATAGAAACCCTTCACGTCCGATGGCGGATGAAGATAACTTTATATGTCAATTGTAGACTTCGATGAGATCTACAACTTTGTAGTTTTGAGTTTTTCATTTGAAGAAGATCTCATAAAAATAATATAAAATTTCAGCACCATAATAATCGCTAACTAGTTGCGATTATGCATTAGAGCACTAATATATTATTTATATGGAGTTAAATGAAAATACTTTTTATACCAAAGTTGTAGCTCTCAATGAGATCTATAACTTTGTAGTTTTGGGTTTTTTCATTTGAGAACGTTAAGATGCTTAAAAAATAATATAAAATTTCGGCGCCTCCTAAAAATATCAAAAGTACTGTTCATACGCAAAACCGTCCAGAAGGTTGAAATTTGAACTTTTTCAAGAGTTGGAGGGCCAAAGTTATCCGGTTTTGAAGTTCGAGGTTGAAATCTATACTTTCGCGATAGTTGGAGGGTGTAAATTATATTTTACCCGAAAAAAAATGCACCCGATATTATATATGATGATGGAGAGTTAACTTCAGCTGCTGCATAAGCCACGCACTGAACTATCCACTATTAGCCTTAGCAACAGAGGTAACAAATAACATGATCTAAACAAATATAAAAAAAACTGACTAGTGTGAATCTTTTTACCAATTACCATGGCCAGTGCGAAAGGGTTTCTTCCAGAAAAAAAAGACTGCAAATAATGGAAAAGGCGACTTTTGTGGCTGTGCTATGAATTTTCTCTTGTGTGTGTTTTGTGTACTGTATCTGCACCGTAGTAGTATTGGTGTAACCTTGATTCCTTACTGTTCCTTGGAAGTTTTGTCTGGTTGTCTCTTTCAAGGGTTCACGTCGACGGCCGATAGCCAGCCGGGTGTAAAAGTAAAAATATTCCTCGGACACTCTGATCTCTGCATTTTGTCTTGCATGAACTAGTGGTCATATTTCAACGTTAATACTTTATTATGAGTGCTACTGCTTGAAGCATTCGGCTGATAGTGATCTTTGTGGCTTTTTGCGTACAGTGGCAATGGTTTAATTTACGACACTGCTCCCAACTTTAATCAATAATTTATAGTTAGCCCTTTGATTATTATTTTTATTATTATTATTATACAAATTTTATCCGGTTAGATTTATGATTAAATATACTATCAAATTATCGTACATTTATAAATATAAACAATATAATATAAAATAAATAAAAAATTAAAGTCTATTTTAAAATACCGTGTCATGTCAAGCTAGTCTTAGAGTAAGGTTAATAATACAACCTTCCGTAGGCTGTAAGTTATCAATACACTCATATAATAGTTAGCTCAACTATGATCTCACTTTTTTTTCTCACAAAGTTTCTTTGTTGTGCATGAGCTGACCGTAAACTTACAAGTTATGGCTCATCTCTCTTCTCTTTCCTCTCACTCTCTTTCACTTCCACCTAAGCATTTAGCCTACTAACAACCCCTTACTATACTTGCTTTTATAAAAGAAAATAGAGGTACTAATCGGTAGTTAAAATCTATTAGCTCTTGTTAACCTATTATCACAACATGGGCTGATTTTTAACGTGTAATTTAAATAGGACCTAAACTATGAATTTATATTCCATAATAACCAAGTAATGCATGATGCTAGTTTGATCAAACTAAGAACAGTTTGACCTATGAGCAGGACAATTTCAGAATCAAACAATTGGTGTTTTGTCTCTGGTTGGTCGGTCTACTTTGGAAGAAGGAAGAAAAAAAAGACACCTAGACAACTCAAAATCACAGCTCGCCCACCATCCACTTTACGTACTTTGGTACTCGTACCAAATTTCCACCCCTTTCTTTTTCATTCGTTCACATAGAAATTCCCGTCCCGCAAGCAAAGCAAAAAGAAAAAAAAACGAAAAAACAAAAGGCAAAAAGAACACACTCAAAGCAGAAACCCGTGCACCGCGTCCACCGCGCACCGCCCGAGGACCGGCCGTCCTCAGGTCGGCCCCACCTCCCCCGGCCCCCGCGCGCTCCTGCACGTCCACCGTGGACCGTCCGCACACTCACGCCCCTCTGCGCGCCTCGAACGGGACGACGTGGTGGTGCAGCTGCTGCTGCTGGCGCGTGGGCCCAACATAGCCCGTGGTCCCCACGAGCAGTGGGCGAAGCGACGCGAAAGACCGCCAGTCCCGTTCTCCTTCGCCGGTCCCGTTCCGTCGGCGGCCGGACAAAACCGCCAGATTGTTCGCTGGTTGGTTAAGTCCGGCTGATGTTGATTTGAACGAGCCAACAGCCTGTTTCTCGTCCCCGTGCGTCTTCTCCTCCCCCTGTTGCTTTTGCTTGCTTGCGGTTGCAGGCAGCCGCTGTACCTGGAGCGACCTGTAGTAGGGGGGGACGGGGGAGGGACTAGGGAGCGAAAGGAGAGGAGAGAGGTTTGGTGGTTGTTTGGTAGAGGAGAGTAATTGGTTGGCTCAGGGGGGAGATGGAGCGCAAGGTGGTGGCGGTGTGCGCGGTGGTCGGTTTCCTCGGCGTCCTCTCGGCGGCGCTCGGCTTCGCGGCCGAAGCCACCCGCGTCAAGGTGCGTCTCGCCGCCTCCCTCTTCTTCTGCGCCAGCGCGGCGGTTATGCGCTGGCGCCGTTGCTTCCCCGTTCTTCCTGAGTACAGTACGGCGATGGTCTTGCCTCCGCCGACTCCGAGTGGTAGATCTCGGTCGCTCCTGAGCGCTGGAGTTCTCGGCGGAGGAGCGGTCGGCGATTGGGCGCATCCTTCGGCCGGGGAGCCGAGTCGGCTGCGGTACTCTAGTAATTAGTACTGCTATTAGAGAGAAAGATTATTATGCTTGTTTGGAGTTATAAATAGGCGATCTTTACGCTTGCGCGTCGCGGGAGTGAACGGTAATGATCCTGAGTGTACCTAGCCGGTATGACCTATGATGCAACAAGGAATCGAATAAAACTTCCTTTCTTTTAGGTGTATGGTGAGAGGTGAACGAAATCTGTGAGCCAATGGCCTTGTCATAGAAATGGTTGGCTGCCATCGTGTGAGGTTCAGTGCTTCATTGGGTTCGTCTGGGTTGCAACTGATCCATCCCAAGTGGTTCAAATCAATCAGGATCTTCTGTGTTTTTTATTGCCTTTTTATTACCATTCTTCATCTTTGGCCTTTGGGGTCACGACGCCACATTGCCTTAGGATTTGATGCCAATTTGTTTAGCTGCATATACCTCGATAGAACAATGGTTCCAAGGTTTTCTTATTGCACTTTTGGTGAGATAGTAGCTAAAATCATAGGTGGTGTGGTGCTTCACTACCTTGAGGTGGGATTCGCAATTGCTGCACGTCACCCCTGCATACAAATCCTAAGGCACATATGCTTGTCACAGGGTTTTTTTCCCCTTCATTGAGGAAGTTACGTGCTAGTCTTCTACATTAAAATGCATTCGTTGTCACGTCTAATGGACACATTCATGTATGTTTATGCCAATTTGATTTATTTTTCAACCTAACTTACCATTTTGGAACTGGCAAATTTATTAACAATTGACTGTTTCACATTATGTGCTATAAAGAGAGGTTCTGGAAATGGTAGTCATTCTTTTGTTAATAAATTGTACATATATTTGTGCTCATGTCCAGATGTAACTTGCTGTGAATCGTGCAGGTATCGGATGTTCAAACAAGTGGTACTCCTGGTGAATGCATATACCCAAGAACCCCAGCCTTAGCGCTTGGTTTAATATCTGCTGTCTCTCTTATGCTCGCCCAATCTATCATAAACACGGTCGCTGGTTGCATCTGTTGTAAGAGGCATCCTGTTCCCTCAGACACTAACTGGAGTGTAGCTCTGATCTCATTCATCATATCTTGGTAACATTCTGGTCTACAAGTTTATGATCGCTTTTGTTCTTCTCTCATATTTTGTAAACTTTACTTAGCCTTTTTGTGAATGGGTTTACCAATAATGGATGCTGAGTGTTGCTATGTCACGTTGAATGTCAAACTACACCTGAGTTCTTGACTGCATTTGACTCGTTTCGTTATTTTTATTTTGCGTTAGTGAAGCAACCATTATAAAGAAATAGCGTAGCATTGACATATAAAGAGTCACATCATTTTCTTAAATACATTCTTTGATCTAGTAGCTGGCACACTGTTAATTGACTGATGTTTATTATATTCCTTGGAAGCCACGAATATGAGTAGTCCACATGCTGGATCCATATAATAGCTTTTGCATAGATCCCAAGCTTATAGTACCTGCAGTGAAATTCTATGTCTTCCTAGACAAGGATCTCATTAACTTGTTGGATTTAGTAACCGGTGATATATGTGTTTCTACTAGTTTTCTGAATACCAGATTTCGCTAATGTGCTAACCTAAGTATTGCTAAATTCCGCAGGTGCACTTTCATTATCGCATTCCTTCTCCTGCTGACTGGAGCTGCCCTGAATGACCAGAGAGGCCAGGAGAACATGTACTTTGGTAGCTTCTGCTATGTCGTGAAGCCAGGGGTCTTCTCCGGGGGAGCGGTGCTAGCCCTCGCCAGCGTGGCGCTAGCGATAGTCTACTACGTCGCCCTGTCATCGTCAAAGGGTCCTCCGCCGACATTTGCAACCCCGCAGAACCATGGCATCGCGATGGGCCAGCCTGTGATCCCGCAGCAGAGCAGCGAACCGGTGTTTGTCCACGAGGACACTTACAATCGGCGGCAACAGGTCCCGTGACCACACAATCTGTGGTTGGTTCAACAGGTCTCCCTGACCAGGATACCTCATGCAGCTGTGCTTGGTCTGTATAGGTTGCAGGTTAGAACAATAGCAATCACCATTGCTGTTAGCTAGATTGTTTTTTTTTTCTCTCTTTCCACCCTCTTGTTTATCGAGCATGCCTGTTTCATCGCTATGGATGTTTGATTCTGAATGAACTGGGTAATGTTGAAGAGAGCCTGCTTCATGTTCAGAGTTTGTCTGTAAACGTGGAGGTTCTTTATGATGGGATGAATGAATACTGAATCATGGATGAAATTGCATCGCATTCGCATTCAGAAACAAGTCAAGAAGGGACTGTCGACGCCAGCTCCTCCCTGAACAGAGCAACGGCGTCACGGACGATGTCGCCGGGGCGCGCCGTCGTGGCGTCGAACTCCGTGACCCCCTCCGTGGCGTCGATCTGCAGCAGGTCGAGCTGGCTCCGCAGCAGGCTCGCCGGCATGAAGTGCTTCCCTTCCGTCGACCGCCGCAGCATCCGCTCGGCGATCACCTCCGCCGACGCCCGCAGGCACACGAACCTCACCCTGCAGGCGGCGTACTCCCCCGGCTCGTAGCCGCGGTCGGCGGCCCGGAGCACGTCCCGGTACCTGAGCTGCAGCGCCGAGCAGCTCACGGCCACGTCCTCGCCGCCGTCCAGCCGGTCCCGGATGGCGTCCCGCAGCGACTCCAGCCACGGCGCGCGGTCCGCGTCGGAGAGCGGGATGCCCTCGCTCATCTTGGCTGGGTTTGTGCACAAGTTGAGAGCAGAGGCCTTTCAGTTCAGCAGAAGTTCAGAGAAGGCAAAAGTGGCAGAACGCCAGAAGTTTCAGAAATGTGATGTGAATTGCGTGGCGGTGTACCTTTGTTTGCCTGGGAATGGTAGTCGTCTGCTTCGATGAAGCTGCAGCCCAGGGCTTCAGCGAGCATTGCCGCGACGGTTCTGCGAGTTCGCAGGCAACAAAAGAAAAAGAGAGATTTAGATAGCGTTTGGTTCGGGTAAATGTCACTGGCAGAACGCCGAATGAATCTTTGCCGATTTGTGCTATCTTTAAGCAATTTTGACCGAATTCTTGAAGCATGAGCGTAGAACAGAGTCGGGATGATGAAGGATCTTACGATTTGCCGCAGCCGCTGACTCCCATGACCACGATCGCTAGCCCTGCAACCCAAATTTTCCCAAAGGGAAGATCAGTTAGCATGAGCAGCCACCCAATCTCAACATATCCGGCTCTTGGCTGTTCATCGCAGCAGGTACTGTCAGCTCAGGATTCAGATCGCGAGCTTGCCTAGTACGTACGCACGAACAGCCGCTACGCGAGCAACGAGCAAATTCCAGACTGAATCTTGGTTGCTATTTTTACTTGGAGCACGCATGGAGGATGCAGCCTGCCGGCTCTGTAAGGAGCAGGCGTGGAGGCTGGTGCTGTGCTACTGACCTTGATGCGCGAGGGGATCGGAGCCGGCCATGGCGGGCGCTCCACCTCCTCCTGTGGATTCTCGAGTGGAGGACTAGGGAATGACCAGGCGAAGAAGCCGACGGCCTCTTGTAGTCCGGGACCGACGATGGCAACAACATTTTCGTCAGGTTGAACGGGTCCATATTCTCATTTCCAGGTCGCTGACGTCAGCTAGAATGCATCCATTTTAAGACGGAGGAAGGCGTACAAATCCACCAGCATGCAGTTTTATTTTCTTTTCTTTGAAAAAAATCACAAACTTTTTGTAGTTTGGTTTGACGTACATTGTTTATTTTGTTTCCTTTGAAAAAGACCTTTACCTTTGTAATTTGGTTTAATGATACGACTAGCAGAGAAGCATGAGCCGTACACGAAACTGAATACTGGCGATTGCCATCTGCTGTCGCTGACTCGGAGCTTATCACACACAGCTTGTCCAACAACTAATCTGGTGCTAACAAAACAGACAGAGGTATCTCAAAGTCAATTATAAACAGAACATACGGCGCCCTACCAAGAAACATATCAACGTTGCAAGAGAGAGCAGGTCCATCTGATCTAGTGACCATTCTTTGGTTTAATTTTGCAATCCAGCCAAGCTAAAGCGGGCGCATACCAACAAGTAGCTGCCAGACTACGGCTACTTCCTAAACAACCCAGAGCTCTGGAGCGCTTTGCAGTACTCCGAGATGACAGGGGACTTCTTCACCATGTCCCAGATCTTCGCTGAGCTTCTCAGCCAGTCGCGCTCCGAGAGGTTCTTCGAGAATGACCTCGCCGGCCATGACAGGATCCGTAGCCACACGAGTGTTCACGTCAGACTGACTCGACCAGGCCTGCCAAGCAGATATTACAAAGAGCTTAATGTTCAGCAACAAATATCTTTATTCGAATGAGTTCCAATTGATTGGATTTTTAATGTAACCTTAGCTTCTCAGAATTAACGAAACCAGTCCAGTTAAACGCAGCAAACCAAGTAATGCTTCTCATGATTTGCTACATAAGAAAATGTTGTGTTAGATTTTAATAGAATCTTAATCAGTCCCATGTAACTGACACATTTGCGAATCACAAGCTAGGGTTTGTAAGTCTATTGAATATTCCCTTCCTATTATGCAAACTCCTCAGTGTAGCAACCATACCTGATCACGAAGCATCCCTAGCATGCACGAGTATGTTCCATACTCAAACTTTGTCGAGTTATCATGTCCTCTCAGGGGAAGGAGAAATATATCCTGCCGACCGGAGGTTAAATCTTCAACTTTCGTGCTTGAAGAAACCAGCGAATCAGAAGGTTGACCTGTTGCATTAGAGCTCCCGATTCTAAAAGAGGATGAGTTGAAGTGCTTCTCGAGAGTTTTCCTTAGAAGCATGAACTTTGAAGGAGAAAAATCTTGTCCCTGCAACCTGTTCAATTAGAAAGGCACAACAATGTAAGGTTCTTAGATTATTTAGAGCAAAAGAGTACAGGGCCGATTTAGGTGTGGAAGTATTACATTCTTGTAACACAGCAAAATAAATGCTATTTTTAAAAGGAAATAGTAAATGCTTTTACCAAGATAGAAAATGCCATACATCTCTTTGTTCAGCAACATAGAAATGAGCATATAATTTCCCTTAAGTAACAAAACAATGATCATGCCAATGGCTAATTCTCACCTAGCATGCACAAAACAGAGATCAGAAATATAGTCTTCACTGCCCAATTGGTCTTCATTTTTTTTCTTGTCTTGAGATGCTGATGACGTTAACATGGATGGATCAGGTATGTTGTGCTTCAATGAATCAACCTGTGAAAATGTATTGGAACATCCATTCAGCCTTCTGCATTACTACCAGGTCCCAAAAGCTAAGTTATTGTAAACTATTTGGGATACGGAAGAAAAAAATGTGATGGGAGAAACAGGTGTGATGGGATAGAATCATTAAAACGCTAGAACAACAGCTCAATTTTCTTGGAAATTAGGTGAAAACTCGGATCCTGAACCTACAGATATAACTTCCTCTGTCTTCCAGACGGGCTAATGAAAGAATGACGGAAGGTACAAATTATAGAAGAGATAACTTACTGTAAGCATTAGCTCCCACATGGACAAATCATTCATCCCTTCTGACACGACCAACACTATATTACAAACAGATGCCAAGAAAACACCAAGCTACAGCAATTCCTTGCAGAATAACAGAAAATACCAATCAATTTTTAGGTATTTCCAACGAACCAGCAGTAGCACAAGTGAGTTTAATAATTGTAAATACAGTCTTTACCTGGATTCCCATTAGTTCATGAGCTAAGTCTGCTGATAAGGGTTCACCATTAAGGACAGGAATTGTGGATGAACCATCTGGCCTCATCATATCGATTAGAACAGAGGGACTATACACTGGCTGCAGGGCAAAAGAGGTTTCCTTTCACAAATTGGTAAGCAAGACACTGATAACCGGTTCTAGCATTCCGATTGCAAAAAACAGAAGAAAATTAATGTCATCTCACCTGAGCGTCAAGGAGTATAACTCGCTCATTAGATATCCTGATGTCAATACCAGTAGTACAGTGTTTCCCCATCAATCTTGTTTCCTCAGTTTGTGTAGGAAAAGGAGGAAGCATTCCTACACAGAATGTTCAAAGGAAATGAGTTTTTAGCAATCTAAGATTTTGGTGTCGAACAAAATTTGAACCAAAATAGGAGTGCTCTTTGTTTAACTTCTAAGCAGCATTCGTGACACTAAAGAGGCTTTATAATGTGCACACTGTGGTAGATAAAAATCTGAGGACAGCTAGATATTGCATGGTGGAAACATTAAGAACAATGTCCATGTGATCGATCGCAAAGCGCATCAACAGAATAATCATTAGAAGTGCTTCTCAGTATAAGAACCAATGAATCTAAGTGATGGAACGACGCATAAAAGAGCATAACAAAAGTGAAGTTGTGTCGTACCAGGTGAGCTTGCATCATATCCGTAAAGCTCGTTCATGATGGTTGACTTGCCTACACCGGGTGGGCCAATTATCCCAATCACCATAAAATCATTGTTCTCCGTCAAATACTGCAAAAACATGGCTGGGGTTAGTAAGGTTCGAGGAATAATATCTATATCTATTCATTAAAAAAAAACTGATCACTAACTCTGTCACTATTTAAACCCCATATGTTCTAACTGTATCAGCCCCGTGATCACTAACTGGATCACAATTCGCAATTTCACATTACATATGCATATATAAGTATGATCAGTAGAAGCCAAATAACATCTCAGTCTTCATATGCCAAGGAAGGGCATCTACGGAACGATGAAGCACTAACAAATTAGAAACAACCCAGCGCCCAGAGGAGGCTTACTAAAACCAACAAATGCAACATTCAGGGAAAAAAAACTACCCACAAAAATGGATTAAGCTAACAGATACACTAACCAACGCTGACATAGCAACGAAAACGCAAAGCGAAGAAATATCCGAGACCTAAAGCTAGCTACAGCCCACACGGATCAGCAAATCATTTTTTTCCATCGATCAGTGCACCCTAGCAACCGCCTGGCATCGAGACTGTGAGCAATCGCGCTGGAGCGGCACGCACGCGCGCACCGGGAGGATCTTGTCGGTGTGGGCCTCCCACGCGTCGGAGACGAGGCTGAGCAACCCCGGCTGCGTCGCCTGGCGCGCGCGGACCCCCGCGCCCCCGCCCCCGCCGTCGTCGTCGGCGCCCGCGGAGGCGGCGTGTGGCAGCGGCGGCTTGGCGAGGAGGATCTTGGGCGGCGGTGGGGGAGGCGGGTGCTGGTGGTGGGAGGCGGAGGAGGAGGAGCCCCGGTCGCCGGCGAGCGGCGAAGGTCCGGCGGCCATCGCGTCTCGGGCGTGGGCGTGGGGCGCTGCTCTGCTCTCCAGTAGCACTAGCACGCGTCGCGTCTCCTCCCCCATGGAGGAGAAAAAGACTATCTGGGCCTCTTCATGGGCCAGATTTCGTTTCGGCCTTGTTGTCTCTTCAGCCCACGCACTAACCTCTAGGCCCGATTATTTCCCTCTGTGTTTGTCTCGTCTCCGTCTTCCTCCTCCACGTGTTATGGTCTCAGGCAACTCACCACCACGTCACCTTCACCATGGGTCCCCCACCTTACCCCTCTCGTGTATAGTTGGCCAACGGGCCGGCCCGACACGGCACGGGCCCCGGCCAAGCCCGGCTCGTAGGGGGACGGGCCGGCACGGCACGCCGTGCCTCCTGTGCCGTGCCCCTCCGGGCATCGTGCCTGGCCTTCGGCCCAAGCACAGCCCTACGGGTCAAAATCCATGGCGTGCCGGCCTGGTAAGCACGGCAAAATCCACAGGCCGTGTCAACCCGCAACCCGGTACCATTAAAACACCTCAATCACAGTCACAATCACAATCACATTTCACAATTCCTAGATGAACCATCACAATCACAAACTGATCACAATCACAGTCACAATCACAATCACAATCACATTTCACAGATTCTCAATTCTAAGTTTCTAACAAAAGCCACCAAAGGAGACGAGTGAATTAAAATAACTGAGCTGTTTGTGCAATGCTGCCTCATTAAAAACCTTTCTAGGTAAAACTCACTCTTGTGAGAAACCCTAGAAAAAGAAAAAAAGTACAGCACAGCTCTTAATAAGTCTTCCATCATTGTTCAAAGGTCCCAAATCACACCGTCATAGATGACAGATACAAAATGGAGATAACAGATTAATTATCAGCAGCCCTAGATGTACCAGCCCCAAATGAACCAGCCCCAGCCCCAGATGAACCAGCAGTACCAGCAGCCCCATTTGCATCATCATCGAGGTACAGATTATCGAAGGAGTCCTCCTGCTCTTGGTTGTCAATAGTATGTTGTAATCTGCTTTCTCTCAACTCCTAATCATTTATGCAGACCAGCATCTCCATAGTTTCAGGCAACAGGCGGCGTCGCCGCTCTTCAATTATCCTTCCTGTCAAGCTAAAACATGATTTCAAAGAGACAGTAGAAACAGGAACAGACATAGTATGTCTAGCCATTATAGATAGGATTGGATATGTTAGTTTGTGGTCACGCCACCAGAGAAGTAAATCAAAATCATCCTCATATGCAGTGACATGTCACTGTCTAGATAAACTAAGAACTCATTAGCAGTAGAAGCAGATGAAAATAAAGTGGGGGCATAGGCAGGGAAGGACCAACAATAGATCCAGGGCCTTCAAAGATTCTTCCCCATGCCTATTTTCTCTTACCTGTATGGCTTGCAGGCTGTGCAACCCTTTGACTCCTAGCTGCACCAAATTTTCTCTCATATTTGTTAAATAACTTGTAAATTTCAGTTTTCACATCAGCATAATATGAAGTATAATCACAACCAGTGCTCTCTTTAAGTAATTCCAGGACTCTAAATAAACCTCTCATCTTAGCTCTAGGATCAAGAATGAATGCAAATGAATATAACAGAGGTATATGCTGCCAGTATTTAAGAAATTTAAGATTCATAGGATATACAATAGCAATTAGATTTTGATCTTTTTTACTTGCATGTAAATGCGTCATTGCCGGTGAGCGACCAGACGATCTCGTCATCAGCACCAGCCATGGCGCCCTCGACCGCGGAGGGCTCTCCAGCACCGTTCCTCAACGGTGTGCGGGGCCGCCTTGGTCACTCTATGCCACAGCTAGAGAACGACGCATCGGCTACCAACCTGCGTAAAGACATGGAGGAGGAGGAAAACAATATATCAGAATAAATCAATCACCATTCATCAATGGAAGAAGAGGAGGATTAGGGTTAGGGTTAGGGATGTACCTGCGCAACCGGAGCCCGGTGTCGGAGAAGACGAGGGCCACCCAGAGAAGACACACCGGTTAGAAGGACGACCAGCGGCGGAGGAGGGGCAGACGGGGACACGAACTCACATAATCACCGAGATCTAGAGGGGAGATAGGGATAGGGAGAAGGGAGAGGCGGAGAGGGAGTAGGGAGGGGATCAGGTAGGAGGAGTAGGGAGCTGCTCGCCGGCGGCAGGCGGATCGTCGAGGTCACCTCATCGGAGTCTCGGAGGACGGAGCCGAGATTACGAGGTCGAGAGTCGCGAGACCGCGAGAGCGAGGCGAGGCGAGACCACGAGAGCGACTAAGCGAGGATGAAATGAAATGAGTTACGGTTCGGGGTGTGAGGGAGAGCCGCCGCAGCGTGCGCTCTTATATGAGGGGGGGAGGAGGGGACGGTGGGCCGCGCTGGGCCTTGGGGAGGGGAGGAGGAGTGAGGAGGGGGAGGGGGGGCCAGGCCGCTGCCGGGCCTACCGTCGTAGGCCGGGCCGTGCCGTGCCAGCCCACGGCCCTGAGCAGCGGCCTAGGCACGGCCTACTCCTTCGGGCCGGGCCAGCCCGAGCCCACTGATCATCGGGCCGTGCCGTGCTTGGTCCGGACCAAAATTACGTGCTTCGTGTCGGGCCGTCGGGCCCCAGGCTGGATGGACATTTATACTCTCGTGTCTCGTCTCGTCTCGCCCTCTCCAGAACCCTCTCGCCCCTTCCCTTCCCTCACAACCACCCGGAGCAGAGGCCGCACTAGCTGAAGAACAGCCAGCGAGATCATACCATCCGTCGCTCCATTCCATCGGGCGCCGCGAGGAGGGACGGGACAGCAAGGAAAGGTCATCTCTCTCCCCAAGCTCCTTGCCTGTCCGAGATTTGAGCTGCTGCTACTGCCTGCCTCCTTGCATTTCGTGGTTCCTATCCCTTAAGATCTGAAGAAGACGAACCCACAGTTTTAGCATTGTCTTGCGTCTAGTGACCTGCATTCGTAGTAGTGCTTCGCCGCAAGTAGAGTTTTATTTTTTTCCCCATTTAGTTAGTGCATCTGCAGGTTGGCGCAAGTGGAGATGGGGTGCGGTGTGTGTGTGTGCTCTGTGCTGACGCAATGTTCATAGAGTAGCTTGTGTTCACCTGCCTGTGATTAGTCTAGGAGTGCACAGAAAGGTGCTAGCTCGTAACTCGAAAGTTAGGGACTCACATTTGCCACAACTCTGAATCTGTAGTGCCTACACGAGCCAAACCCATTGGATTTATTAAGGATCATGCATGGACATTGGCATGCAGTGGCATTAATTTGACCTGTTGGCTTGGCTGTTGACAGTGGCCAAATTGCAATTGTCTCGAGTGTTACCCAACTGGCCTCAGAAATTTGCTGGGCTTCAGTTTACCTGTTCCTTATAAACAATCTATCTTTTACAAGTGAGTTCAGCGGAATGTATATTCAGCGCCAAATTTGATAAGTCTGCGTATTGTTGAATGCATGTAATGTGATATAACCTTGACTATTTTAATTGGGGCCTTAGAGTACAGCCCACGAGTTACTTGATATCAAGATGGACATAACCACAATTTCATCTTGTTTATTTTGATGCAGTACACTTTTTTTTTTTTATCAAAACTGCCAGCTTGTATTGATAGAGATGATATGGAAAGTTTTTTTTCTTCTTCAAAACTGCTGGTAGGAAAACTGAAGTTATAAAAGATATCTAAAAAGTTAAGACGACAAAATAAATAAAATTATTATTTTTTCGAAACTGCCAGCTTGTATTGATAGAGATGATATGGAAAAGTTTTATACAAAATAAACAAGATGATATGGAAAAGTTCAAAATAAAAAGGGAAGTGTGGCTGCTGGGATTCGAGCCCAGGTCTCCACGGCCACAACGTGGAATTCTCACCACTAAACTACAGCCACTCTGTGTTAAGCTCTCTGATGATTACAAATTTAATTGAATGCTAGTACGGCTCACTTGGAGCAAACTTCTTAATGTTGCATGATTATTTTAATGGGGTCCTTAGACAGTTAGAAACTACTTAGAATCCATTATTGACAACAGTTATTATCATGGATGCTCGTATACCGCCATGGACGAAACCACAGCGTATCCAAATTCCCTGCCCATTTCCACACAGTACACTGGTAGTGTAAAGGTTGACTTGGGGTTGGGGGGCATGCTTGCTGCTGATTGCATTTTCAGTTGGATCGTGTACTTCGTGGAAGCTGGTGAATGTAAAACAAGGTTTACTAGCCCTTTGCAAATGGTAAATATGTCTCGATGTTCCGTTATTTTATTTGTAAACCATGCCTCATATGTGGTACTTGCCTCTTTTTTCCTGTCTTGCATTGTGCATATTGGGATAAATACACTTGTTATTCAAGCATCTAGTAGTTTGAGCAACCTTTCTTCCATGTATGTGGTACTTCCCTTCCCTGAATCAGCAACCTTTCTTCCATGTATGTACGAAACTATGCAGTTTCTGCCAAGTACATCATCCCCGGTCTAGCTGCTTCCTTCGTGATCGCGTATGCTTCCGATGTCCTAGTGGCACAAAAGAAGATTTTTGGAGGTAAGGGTCATCTGATGACCTCAAGTTATCACAGCAAAGCACCTCAATGTCCTCAATCCTCACGTTAACATTATCCGTGTTACTTACATGGTGAGCAGGTACGACGCCAAGGACGGTGGCGGACAAGGAGTGGTGGCAGGCGACGGACAAGAAATTCCAGGCGTGGCCTCGCACCGCGGGCCCACCAGTGGTCATGAACCCCATCAGCCGCCAGAACTTCATCGTCAAGGATCTCAAGCCCTGAGGAGGTAGGGTGTATGGTGTGGTGTTCATCAAAGCTTCAAACGCGTGCGCAGCGTTGCCGTTCTGTTGTCACAATAGCTGCTGGTTGGTTCAATCATGGTTTCATCTTGGCCTTGAAGCTTCTGACTCTGAAGTCTCCGTTGGCAGGCTCATGCTCCGACTTATGGACCAGACTGAACGTGGCGTTGGTTGCAGTTGTAATCATGTAGGCTTGTAGCTGCAATTAGCTTACT